TCACTGAGTTACTTAGGGCCTCGATAAGTTGATGAGGCTTGTTTGAACTAGCGGTCTGAGCCACTGGGATTACAGGTGTGTACCACCATACCTGGCTTCGTATAGTTTTGTATGTGTCACAAATAATATTGCCAGTGGTGAAGCCAGTTTCGAGAAGGTAGCTGTTTTTAATTGAACTAGATCTTAAAACATTTCACAAAAATGTGAAAAATAATGCTGATTTAATTGTTTTTAGGGAAGGGAAGATAAGTCACTGTAAGATATTAAAATGGACTTACTATAAAAATTATAAAATGAATCAGTAACAATTCTATTTTTTAACCATCGTTTTTTGAACTCAGTGTCACTTTATCACTGAGCTACATCCCCAGGGTGTTTTTTTTTTTTTTTTTTTTTTTTTTTTTGGTACCGGGATTGAACTCAGGGGTACCCAACCACTGAGCCATATCCCTGGCCCTATTTTATATTTTATTTAGAGACAGGATCATGAGTTGGTTAGCACCTTGCTTTTGCTGAGGCTGGCTTTAAACTCAAAATCTTCCTGCCTCAGCTTCCCCAGCTGCTGCAATTACAGGCCTGAATTACTGAGGCTGACCTTGAACTTGAGTCTCTTGCCTGAACTTCCTGAGTCTCTGGGGGTTCCAGGTGCATGCTGCTTATTACAATTTTAATTACTAATATAAATACCACAGTAAACAAAAATTCGGCAGGGATTTTCAATTTTTAAGGGTGAAGGGAGCCTGGCTAGGATTATATCTCAGTAGTAGAGCACTTGCCTACCTTACTGGAGGCCCTGACTTCCAGGCCCCATCTTCACCCCCACTGGTGGGGCGGGGGAAGAAAGGGGACCTAAGATGATACAAGTTTAATGACTTACTCTCATAGGGAAACTCTTTCAGAAGTAACCTAAAGTACTTAATCCAGAGGTTCCCAAATTTTGTTGCACTTTAAAATCACTTGGGAAGTCTTACATACCCTTTGTCATTAAATCAGAATGAAAATGGCTTGCTTTATTTACTAATTTATTAGATTGTGATTTGATTGCAACTTGAAGCAAAATTTGGAGACTGCTGGCTTTGACTCACACTTTTATGTTTGCATTCTTATTCCTGATTTTGGAGATGACCTTATGGTTTAATTACCTTATTTAGAAAATATTACATAGTTTTTATCTGTTTTTTGCTGAGGCAAATTCAGAAATCTCTTGAGAATTAATTTGTCAGTTTTTTTTTTTTTAAACCTCTCAGCTACCTGTTCAGCCTCCTTTGCCCAGTTTTTATTGGCTAAAACCGGTGTTAAAATACAATCCAGTTAAGAAAAATAGTGTAAAATGGAAAACCTTGCTTTGCATGCTAATGAAAGGGAATAAAACTATACCCAGTAATTCACTGAAAACTGTTGGTGGTACAGATTTCTCTATCACAGAATTGCACTTGAAATACTGAGTTGTTACTTATATTTAAGAAGTCTGATTTATTATAAGTTGTGCTTTTGAAACGGCACATTAAAGTCATTGTTAAAGCCCAAGTTCAAAGTAACATGCAGAATATTGACAGTCATTTGATGTACATATTATATAGACTTCCTTCAGTTTTACTTGTACTCGCTTGTATGTGTGCATACAGTTCTGTAGTTTTGTCATATGGATTATATGTTCTGATATGTTTTACTGTATATTTGTGTATCTGTTACCATAGTCTAGTTTAACAGTTCATTACTACAAGAGATCTTTTGTAACCACACCTGTGTACCATTTCTGACTCCTGGTGACCACTAGTCCTTTCCCCATTTCTGCCACTTCTTCATTTCATAAATATCATATAAATGAAAGCATATAATATATGACTTTTGCATAGATTCATTTATCTACTATCACGATCAAGATATAGAATTGTAAGAACTTTTAAAGACTTAAACAGCTTCCTTGTTGTCATTTAAATATTCTACTAATTTTTTCAGCCTCTATATTATTAAATGTTTGTACTTTGAAGAGAAAAAAATATTGATCATTTTGTTACTGGCCTAGTCCTAGTCATGTAGATCCCTCAATGTTCAGTGATACATTAGGCATAAGATTTCTTTTAGGAAAAAATTTTTTAAAAATCTCTTTTAGGTTATATTCTCAGGCCAGAACCTAATGTACTGGAGATAATCTAAAACAGAGGTTCCCAGGCTGAGGTTCTAAAACTGGGGGCCAGGAATTTAATGTTAGTGTGAATCTCAAAACTTTCATCATTATTTTTTAAAAATATTATTTAGCTATCAATGGATCTTTATTTTGTTTATTTATATGTGGTGCTGAAAATCGAACCCAGTGCCTCACATAGGCAAGTTCAGTACCACTGAGCCACAACCACAGTCCAACTTTCATTGTTTTTAAGAGCACTAGAGTGATTGTATTTGTTATCCTAGCAAGTTAATAAACTATTAATCTGGGCTGGGGTTGTGGCTCAGTGGCAGAGAGCTTGCCTCTCACATGTGAGGCACTGGGTTCAATCCTCAGCACCACACAAAAATTATATATATATAAATAAAGATGTTGTCCTTGTATAACTAAAAAATACTAAAAAAATAAACTACAAATCTGCTTTCAGTTAAAACTCTGTTATCTTAGTTTCAGAAAACAAGCTTGCTTGTGTTGACCAGATGCTTTGATTAGTAGAAATTTTGGATGTGATAACTGGTGTCATAGTTACTATGGGCTAGGCACTGTGCCCGTACTAGATAGAGGTTATTTGTGGTTTTCTTTGGCTTATTGATGTACAGTGGTAGCAGAAATTAAGAACAGTTCTTTTCTTTCAAATGTGCACTATTCATATATTCTATTTTTGTTTTAATCTTCAAGGTTGCTTGTCAACCCTTTTGATTTCAAGAACCACCAATAGGATATAATTTTTGGTTTAAAGAAAAATTGCTACTTTATACTTCAGGCCTGTTTATGATCCTTCAGGGTGTGGGATTTTTGGCTTTGTTTTGTTTTTGAAGCCAGAGCCTCATCTCTAACCTCAATTTACTTGAAAGCTCATTGTACTAAATTGTATGAAGCAGTTAGTAAATTGATTTTGGATCACATTTGTGGAATTAATGGATTTTTAGCTTGGTCATTTTAATATAAGAAATAAACTGTATTCCTGTTTTTAGTTGGAGTGTATTCTAGCTCTAGTATATTTTGAAGTCAGTTATTGTGATGCCTACAGCATTGCTTTGGCTTCTCTGGGTCTTTTATTCAAATAAATTTTAGGACTTTTTTTGTTATAGTTCTGTAATAATGTCATTGGTATTTTGATGGGAATTACATTGAATCTCTATATTGCTTTTGGCAGTATGGCCATTTTAACAGCATTAATTCTGCCTGTCCATCAACATGGAAGATCTTTTCATCTTCTTGTGTCTTTTTCTAGTTTGAATTATCTTTGTTAAGAATACTTTCCTATTCAATCTAAGTTATCCCCAAAGTTGAGGTTTTGTTAGTCCTGGTATATAGTTTTTGTTACCTTAACTAGATGTTTAGGTTCTATAAATGAGTGAATAGTTGAGCATTTTCTAAAATGTGAAAGTTGTCATGACTTTTTTTGAGGTGGCAGTGGTGCTGTTTTTTGATACTGGGAATTTAACCCAGGGGCACTTTTCCACTGAGCCATATCCCCAGCTCCCCGCCCCGCCCTTTTGAGATAGGGTCTTGCTAAGTTTCTAAGGCTGGTCTTGAACGTGTGATCCTTCTATCTTAGCTTCTTGAGTTGTTGGGATTACATGCGTGTGCCACTGTGCCCAGCTGTCCTAACTTTTCTTTTAAGAAAAACATTTACATTTTTGCCCATCCAGTTTTATGTTCAACTGTAAATCATAGTATATGACTATGACTGTAAAAAGAAAAAAAAAAGGTACTTTATGAGTAGTTGGGACTAGAAGCAAAATTATAATGCAGACGTGGACTTGATCACACGATCATGGATAATTAAGTGTTTTCCAATTTGTTCAGTAGATTAGTCTCTAGATTGGCTAAAGGAATAAGTATTTCATACAAAACAGTATCTTTGAGTGAAAATAGTCCTTGAGGTTATCTATAGTAGCCTCAGTTTTACAAATTTGCCACATAACTTAATGGTTTGCACGATGTAGAGCTGAAACATATAAAGCATATATGAAGCCTGATCACTTTATGGTGAGGTGGTTTGTTTTTGTTTAATTTAGGGATGACTCTTCATTTGAAATGCAATTGTAGTTTTTTCTTTTCTTCATGCCGAATCCATTTCTGGAATACAAGTAGTACTTGGGTATTTAGGGAAAAGTTTTTCTGTATATGTTTATGTATTTATTTTTATGTGGTGCTCAGAATCTAACCCAGTGTCTCACACAAGCTAGGCAAGTGCTCTACCACTGAGCTACGATCCCAGCCCTCAAGAAAAAGTTAAAGGCCTTTATTTCAGTACAGTTTTTCTGGTGGTGGTGATGGTGGTCAGTACTGGGGATTGAATCCAGGAGCACTGAGCCACATCCCCAGCCCTGTATATAGAGACAGGGTCTCACTGAGTTCTTAGTGCCTTGCCATCGCTGAAGCTGGCTTTGAACTCATAATCCTCCTGTCTCAGCCTCCTTAGTCACTGGGATTACAGGTGGGCTCCACCTTGCCTGGCTCAATGCAAGTTTTACTCAACAAATTGTTTTGCATTTGACCTCAGTCATTTTCCTCATATTTGTACAGAAGAGGTTTTAATTGTATCTCTGTGTTTTATACCTAGTAACTGTTTTCAAATGTATAAGTGGTCTCTGCCACTCATTTCATATTTATTTTAAGTAGATTGATTGAAAAGTAAAAATGATATATGTTATAAAAGGGGGAAAAGCATTAAAAAATGTGCATTTAAAAATGTTTTCATGGGCTGAGGATGTTGCTCAGTGGTAGTGCTTGCCTAGCAAGTGCAAGGCCCTGGGTTTGATCCTTAGTACTTGCTGGAAGGAGATTGCTGATATTGAATGAAAGTACTTTTTTCCTGTCCTAGTGTACTAGAAGGAAAACATCACCATGGCCACAGAAATTGGTTCTCCTCCTCGTTTTTTCCACATGCCACGGTTCCAACACCAGGCACCTCGACAACTGTTTTATAAGCGACCTGACTTTGCACAGCAGCAAGCAATGCAGCAGCTTACCTTTGATGGAAAACGAATGAGAAAAGCTGTAAACCGAAAAACCATAGACTACAATCCATCCGTAATTAAGTATTTGGAGGTAAGATAACCAAATTTTAGTTTCTTGAAAGTTGCCTGAATGTAGAGAAGTAAGTATACTTGTATTGCTTGAATTAGTTGGGTGAACTGGAATTTCAGATGAAGCCACATAAAAAGGGCCTCACTTTACCTCAATTCACTTTTTTTTTTTTTTTAAAGAGAGAGTGAGAGAGGGGAGAGAGAGAGAATTTTTAATATTTGTTTTTTTTAGTTCTCGGCGGACACAACATCTTTGTTGGTATGTGGTGCTGAGGATCGAACCCGGGTCTCACGCATGCCAGGCGAGCGCGCTACTGCTTGAGCCACATCCCCAGCCCGACCTCAATTCACTTTTTAAAAAATTGGTGCATGAGTAATCTTTTGCAAAATTATTTAAGGTAGAACTTCACTTTAGAAATTGACTTTGTTCTCGGACTGGGGTTGTGGCCAAGTGGTAGAGTGTTCGCCTAGCATGCATGAGTCATTGGGTTGCATACTCAGCACCACTTAAATATAAAGATATAATAAATATTGAGTTTGTTCTCAAAGTTCATAACAGATCAAAATAAGGTACTTTTAATATTCAGGCCAACCTTAAAGCATTTGTTAAACCTCCAGTGTATATGAAATAATAAGAGACTTCTAGTTGTAAAAAGGACTCTAATTAAGGTTGAGATCTTAATATAGGGTGGAAGCAACTCTGAGATGGTAAATAAAAGCAAGGTAGGGGTCAGCCTAAACTTCTATCAGCCCTACTTTTTTTCTTATTAGTTCTTTATTTTCCTTAACTTTCTAACATTACTGTTAATATTGATTGGTTTTTGGTCTGCTCTGGATTCTGTCTTAGAAAATAACTTTTTTTTTTTTTTTGGTGGTTCTGGGATTGAACCCATGGCCTCATACATGCTAGGCAAGCACTCTGCCACTGAGCTACACCCCCAGCCCTTAGAAAATAACATTTTGTTTTCTCCCCATTTAATATACCTTACATTTTGTTAATAATTAATTTCACATTGATAATGAGACCTATACTTATTAACTGATCTGTTTGTTTATTTTAACAGAATAGAATATGGCAAAGAGACCAGAGAGATATGAGGGCAATTCAGCCTGACGCAGGTTATTATAATGATGTAAGTATAAGACAGGTCATATAAGCTGAATAAAAATTTCTTTGCTTTGACATTTAAGCCTAAATAGGTGAATTCAAGTTCACAATGTTCTTTTCTTCCTACATTTTTATAATTATACTAAAAGGTTTCTGAAAGGGTAATGTAACACATTTGTATGAATCATGGATTATATTTTGTCTCTATTTAAATATTTCTTTTATTAAAAGACATGATGGATGAACTGTTGATTTGGGATGTAAAGCAGTGTTCAACAAAATATTGAACCAAAAGTCTTATAATAGGAAAGTTAATTTAAGACTTGAAACTTAAAATTTTAAATTTCGAAATTTTAAACTTTAAACCAGTGTGAACATGTTTAATGGAGTTGACTTTAAGAAGTAATCAAGAACATCTGATAATCTGTGATGGGATTTGTTTAATAATAACTGGTATTTACCCTCCCATATCTCACTTTTCTTCTTTTAATTAACACAAACTAGTTATATTACAATAGTGGGATTTTTCTGAGTACCAGGGATTGAGCTCAGGGGGTGCTCAACCACTGTGTAGCCACATCCCAAGTCCTTTTTTAAACTTTATTTAGAGACAAGGTCTCACTGAGTTGGTTAGTGCATCCCATTTGCTGAGGCTGGCTTCGAACTCACAATCTTCCTTTTTATTACAATAGTTTTTAAAAAATCTTGTAGTCCGAATTCATCCTTTACCCTCCCCTCCCACCTCTCCTTTCCCAAAAGTGTTTTACCACTGAGCTGCACCCCCAACTCATTTTTTAAATTTTGAGACAGGGTCACCCTAAGTTGCCCAGGCTGCCCTCAGATTTGGGATCCTTTTGCCTCTCGGGCATTTGAAATTAAGTGTGTGCGCCACCAAGCCTGCTCTGAATTTTAGACGCTGAAATTACCTTGCCATGGCCTGGTTTCTGCCCTGAGTGTAATCAGGACCTCTGAAAACACAGTTTTCTTGTTTTGCAGCTGGTTCCACCTATAGGAATGTTAAATAATCCTATGAATGCAGTAACAACAAAATTTGTTCGGACATCAACAAATAAAGTAAAGTGCCCAGTATTTGTTGTCAGGGTAAGTATTCTTTTGGATATTTATTTATGTTTTGAAAAATTAATCCTGTGTTAGTCTGGGAATGTATTTGACAAAACAAAAATCAAACATTAACTTAAATGTGGGTCTGGGATAATAATTAGTTTATTTTTCATAAATTTTGTCTTGAAATAATTATTTATCCAAAGTGTCCACATTTAGTAAACTGACTTTTCAGTTTCAATTGTTTTTCTTCATATTGCAGTTTCCTTAGATATAAAGTTACAAACTTATCCTTCAATAAGAATGCTTTTGTTACTTGAGAAAAGCAGCACCCTGAGTAAATGAAAAATCCCTAGGTGTTAATAGTTACAAGGAAGGAAAATGCATAAATGTAACTGAAGAATTGTGTGGTTCATACTTGTCAGCTCCATGAAGGAATATAGTAGATGCTTAATACACTTTCACTGAAAAAAAATTTTTTTTTTAAAAATTATTTTGTAGTTGTAGATGGACAGCATACCTTTATTTGCTTATTTTATGTGGTGCTGAGGATCGAACCCAGTTCCTCACACAAACAAGGCAAGTGCTCTGCCACTGAGCTACAGCCCCAACAGTGAAATTTTAAAATATAGTTTTACAGTCAGTCATGAATTCACATGGCTTAAAAATTTAAAATTTTGAGGGATTTGTAGAAAAACATTTTCTCATCTCCATTTTCCAGTCATTCAGTTAATATTCCTGTAGATGATAGCATAATAATATTCTTTGTATTTTGATTATTCCATTTCCTAAAAATGTACTTGTTGATTAGCTGTATTCAGAGTTGTACGATGATTAATAGTCAACATTGAGCAAACAACAATTGAAAAATAAAGTACGGGTGGGGGGAGAAGAAAAAAGAGTCATGGCAGACATTAATGGCAAATTAAGGGAATAAGCAGATTTGATATTTAAGAGGTATGCAGATAGAAAGGAGACCTGGGAGGGACTGAAAGATGCTAGTCTTTGAGCTACATAGAAATTGTTACAGTTGGTCTTAAGCCTCCTATTTGCTTTAGATACCTAAGGCAATAGAAATATCATTAAAGATCATTTTTGTGTAAGTAGAACCAACTAGTATATAGTATATATTTTTTATCAAGAGATTTGGTCAGTGGGTTGTACTGTACAGCTAATTTTAATATCCTTCTTTTAAAAAGAAAACACAGAAAACCATTTTGAAATAAAATTCAAGCAGCCTAAAGATATTAAGAAATGAATACTGCAGTTTCTGTATCTAAAGTTTAGTTGTAAGCATTGTTGACTGAGAGTAATGGGAAAGTAGGCAGATTTCATTCATAATAATCATAAATCTTGATTTATGATTTATATAGATAAGCAATAAAACCTCAAATTGTCACATATTTGTGTAATTTACCAAATAGTATTCATTTTATGTATTTTGTCTTGCTATTTCTATAGATTTACTTCTATTTTTCAAGTCTTTGACATACTTTTTGTTTGGAAAATAGGATTGTTATTTTGAGATTTTATTTATTTACATCCTGTAAGGAAAATTAGTTTGTAATCCATTGTATAGACTGGGAAAAACAAAACTGAAAGAACATTATGAATGTTTTGAGTTATGTAGCTCATCACAGATTTGGTTCAGTATGCATATTGTAAATTAAAAACATTTGTAATATTAGTTGTGGTTTTAATGGTTTGGGAGTAGATCAGCATAAGACTTGGCACTGTGAATGGCAGAGAGCTTAACCCAATATTTTGAGTATGTTTATTTGCAGAAGACATTTGGTACCCTTTACTTGGTACTTACTATTATCTTGTTATTTAAAAAAAAAAATTTTTTTTTTAAGTAAAACACTGATAACTTTCTGCCTGCATTAGTTGTGTAGCAGTTCTAAGACATCAACTCTTTCATTAGTTGTTGAATTTTTTTGGTGACCAACAACCTTATTTATGTTAATCTACTATGTAGCCTAGGAATATGGTGCATTTTATTTTGAAATGCTTTTTAGAGTGCATAGGTGCTTGTAATTTAGTGTGTATTTGTTTCTTCATAATGTACTTTCCCCGCATGGTGTTAATACAGGTTCTTTTCTGACAAAATACTTGCTTATAAATGGAGCTCCACTAAGTGAAAGTATTGTCAACTTAATATTGATTACTTGATGTGTTTTTTTTTTTTTTTTAAAGAAACACCTTTGTAAATTAAAAAAAAAAAAAATGAGTGAAGTTGCCCATGTGTAACCTGTCATTTTTTTCCTCCTCCACAGTGGACTCCAGAAGGAAGACGGTTGGTCACTGGAGCTTCTAGTGGAGAGTTCACATTGTGGAATGGACTCACTTTCAATTTTGAAACAATATTACAGGTAATACTAATCATCAGTTGGTAGCTCATGCTGTGGTACTGTAAGGAATCTGAGATTGGCACTTACTCGCATTGTGAAAGTTTACAGTTGGATGATTTATTGCTGAGTAAATACATGCTCCTATAAGCCTTTGATCATATGTTATTTGAGATAGTAACTTACAGATATTTTCTTTTTTCCCAGGCTCATGATAGCCCAGTGAGGGCCATGACTTGGTCACATAATGACATGTGGATGTTGACAGCAGACCATGGAGGATATGTGAAATATTGGCAGTCGAACATGAACAACGTCAAGATGTTCCAGGCACATAAGGAGGCGATTAGAGAGGCCAGGTTTATACACAATATACCATTTTCTGTAGTCCCTATTGTCATGGTTAAATTATTCTCTAAGTGTATTCTGGGTGCAGAGATGCATGGGCTCTGTCAGATTCTGGGAAACTTTCTGCACCCTATAAACACAATATTTTTCCTTGTTTTCACACATTCACCATTTTGCTGGCACCTTTCTGAAGTAGTGTTGTCCTGGTATCAGCCTTTGCAATATGTTAGAGATGTATTGTCTGCCGCATTTTGCACTGGTTTTCTCTTTTCATTTATGGTTAATAATGTGTATACGTTATTCCTTTTTATTATCTACTGTGTAAGACACGAATATTTCATTCCAAATAAAGAATTCAGTCTTTAATCATACAACTGAATAAAATCTAAAGCCTTCAGAAAACACCTTCAGAATTCACACAAATTACAAGAAAAAAAAGGCTTAAGTGAAGACCTGGTTGGCTTGGCTATGCCATGACTTCAAAAGGAAAGTATAGGACTATAAACCCTCACAGATAACTCTCTGGATGTGGCAAACATTAATGGGTTAATGAATGGGTTCTTCAAGCTTTGCAGCTCTAAGCAGACCTTTGTCAAGAAGACTCTAGGACCTTTTCTTCTGATTCTCTGTTAACATCAGCTGTGCAAATGTATAATAAGTGGAGTTTAATATTTTCAGTGAGTTGTATGTTTTACATATCAATGAGATATGTATAGTAAAACTGGGGGAAAAAGTTACAAAAAGAAGCCTGAAGAATTGCTGCAGCCTCAGAATAAAGTTAAGCAGCATTCTTTAAGGTTGTGCCACCTATGTGTGAGAGGAGGTTGACTCTATGGAAACACCATCCACTGCAGTCACTTGTTTCTATTTTCAGAATCACAAAAATTGTTGGATATATGTGCTTCTGCTTTATAGATTTGACCTTAGTGTCATGCCCATAATTCGAGTTTTCCCAGTTGGTCCTTTCTTTAAGATTCAGAAGTTCAAGGGAATTCTTAGAGTTGAGATCAACTCGATGTTCTTTCACTACTGGGAAGTAAAACTGGCTTCCTTTTTTGCAACAGATTCTTTGGCTTTAAACACAAATTTGAATGTCCCTATTTTAAAGATTTCCTCCAAGGGTACAACATTCATTTGCTAGCTTGGCAGGAAGATGTGAACATTTTTCCACAGCTCTTTTAAATAAACGAGAAACATTGTATGTAGGAATGTTTACAATTTGATCTTTAGTAGCTTGCTCTTAAGTTTATCATTCCACAAAGTATCTGAGACAGAAACTGATGTGATTTTTTTGAACAGTATTCCTGTGTGATTTAAATGACTATATGCAGGAATATTGTACAAATATATTGAGTTTCAGTACTTAAAACAGCTCCCTTTGTTTTGCTGGTATGGTTGGAAATACGCTAAGAGGAGCATGGGTAGCATTAGGACAATACACTGGTAAAATTGTGTGAATATTGATGATTGAAAACTGAAACAACTACTCAGTTGAAGTCTTCTTTTGATGAGATGCGTGTGTTGTCAACATTCTCTTTAAGGGCTTCTTCACTGGATACTTCCTTTCCTTTTTATAATGCAGCACAGTGTTTTTATTTTTCCCTGTCTGAGAAGCACAGATAATCTGTTAAATGCTGACTTCTTTCCCCTGCTGTGTGTCTTCACGTAACAGTTTCTCACCCACGGATAATAAATTTGCTACATGCTCTGATGACGGCACTGTTAGAATCTGGGACTTTCTTCGTTGCCATGAGGAAAGAATTCTCCGAGGTATGTGTACTAACAGTACTGATTAGAATTTTTAAATAGGGAAGGCATTTGTGGTTAAATCATCACAATACCACAATAACAGCTTACATCTCCATTCAAGTTTTTCACATGTACACCATCTTAGGCTCTTTAAAGAAACCCAAACTCACTTTCTCTAGTTCACAAACATTTTATAGATTTTTACTACTAATATCTTTGAATTATTTCAGCTTTAAATTAAATACAAGAGTCCCCTCTCTATCATTTCTACATTACTTGCTTGGTTGTGTGTGTGTGTGTTTTTTTCCTCCCAGTACTGGAAAGTGAATCCAAGACCTTATACATGCTATTCAAGTATTTTACCATTGATATACATCCCCAGCCCTCCTTGCTTGACTTTATGCCTCTTTTAGGGCTGTATTCCTTTTCTTGTCTTGTACTCAAGATAACTTTCTCAACATAATCACACTGTAGTCTTGTTCTTTCTTTTTCCTTTTCCCTCAGTATTAAGAAGTTAATCCCCAGGGCCACTCAGAACTGAACTGCATCCCTTAACCCTTTTTATTTTTTATGTAGCTGGAATTAAAGGCATGCACCACTGTACTTTCATCTCCTGGAAGTCTTCTTGCAAAAATAAATTAGCCCCCAAAAGAGAGGTCTCAACAACTACACTTCTCAGTGTTGATTTATTTAGCGGAACATATATTTGTATGACATTGCTCATATGTAGATTGGGAAGGATTGCTTATTTACATTTATTGATTCCATAATTACAATAAACCTATATGAATTGCTTTTACCCTATAAAAATATATATTTTCACCTGGGCCATTTTTTCATTAGTGTGTTAGTTTATTGGACTTTATAAAGTGGGACTTAAAATATTAACAGTTTGCCAATGCCAAAATATTAGCATTTCATCAACATCATTTATATGAGTTCAGTAGTATTAGAGTTAGGGAATTATCTGTTACATATATGCAGTACAAACATCACAACAACAGTATTATCCTTCCTTCCAATTAAATCCTGTTAGTTTATTCTTTCCTAAAAAGGTAGTATTTTCAATTGCTTAGTTTAAATCCATACTGGCCATATCCATGATTTCAGTGTGCTACAAAAGTAACATCTTCCTCTGATACATATTTGCAGAGTAGAAGAATAGGTGTTACAGATACTGGGTGTTAGGAAATTCCTATTTAAGAGATTCCCCTTTATGTTAAAGAGGCAGCATAGTTAGTTGTCTTGATGGATTTATAAGTTTTTTTTTTTAAAACAACTTTTCGAGCTTTATTTGCAACATATGATAATGATTTCTAGATAAGAAAAGGACCTTAGTGATATTTTAACCCATATTCTGAGCCAGTGTTTTTGATCCCATTTACCTTTATTTTCCTGGCTTTGCATATTTGTATAGATTTATCCACAGGACTGTGTTACTATAGCTAGCATAAGGATATGGAGCCTATCATATGTTCATGTGTATGATAGGTATGTGCCCATCACGTACTCAACATGAATGTCATTTTATTAGGTTCAGATTCAGAGCTAGAATCTTTTGTCACTTAATTCTATCTTAATGCCATACTAATGTATATTTTCTTACTGTTACTTAACAGTAAGTCTTAGATGTAATAAAGAAATAAGACAAACAACATTTTCTACGTTTTGAATGTCTTTAGAAGTATAGAGGTAATAATTCTATTTAATATAATTCTAAGGAATCAGAGCAGTTAATTTTATAATGGACTCTACTGACAGGTCTGATCTGAAGGTCCTCTGCTTTTACCAAAGTAGAAAATCTATTATATGATAACATTTTTCAGTTTTTTATGCCAGTGAAAAGTTATTCAATTTTGCAGCTGTTTTAAAATAGTGCTTAAGAATTTCCCCCTGAAATTTAGAGTATATTGGAAATATTAGCTAGTAATTAAATATTTTCAGATTTTATTTCAGGTAAATTTACATACAAGTTAAGAGGATACTGAATGATTACCTATTAAAATATTTAGTGTAACTTAAAATATACTAATGTCTATATTAAACGAGTGTTGAGTTTTGTATATAAGGACCCTTCCTTCTTTCTTTTCTTATTTGGTGTTACTAGGGATTGAACCCAGGGCCTTGTACATGCTAGGCAAGTTCTCTGTAGCTATTTTGCCATCCAGCACCCATTTTCTCCTACATACCTTAAAAAAAAAAATAATAATTTTTTAGTTGTTAATGGACCTTTATTTATTTACCTACCTACCTACCTACTTACTTAATTATTTATATGTGAGGCTGAGTACCCAGGGCCTCACACATGGTAGGCAAGTGCTATGCCAGTGAGCTGCAACCCCAGCACCCCTGAACCCCCCCCCCCATGCCTTTTTTAGATAATATTTTACTAAGGCCTTGAATTTGTAGTCCTTCAGCCTTTTGAGTTACAGAGATTAGGTGTCTGCCACCATGTCTGGCAAGGGCTTTTTATTTTAGGTTTTTACTATGGAAATTTCATATATGCCATGTTTCTGTCCACAAAAAATTATAATGAATCTTCATGTACTTTTAGGATTCATATTTTGGCTTATTGATATCTTGCTTCCTTGAACAAAATATTCTACTGGCTTTATAATCATAATTGTTTGTTAATACCTCAAGGAGTGAGACAAATATGAATATACTAAACTAAGTTGATTGTATCATCCAATAATTCTGATACCAAGTCTGTTGTAGAAGAGTTAGTAGAGTCCAGTTATCCATTTTCTTTTTTTCCTCCCATTTGTAAATTTTACAAATCTAAGAGATTTGCTGTCCTCCACTTGGTGGGTTGGGAATCAGAGGGATGGTAGACATATAGTTGTCTCAAGGATGGCATGAAACTATTCAAATAAAGTTAGAGGAGAACTCTACTTAGCTCTACTTAGATAAAGAAAATTGGATCAAAGTCAAATAGTGACTGGGTGTTCTAACCTTTTGAAGTGTTAGCTTTCCAATATTAAGGGTGATGCTTGTTGTCCACATAGATTTTAGCATCTGGCAGGCAAGCATATCCTTTGCATTGTTCATTTGTACATCAGGCCCTAACTTTTAGGGTTAAGTATTTTAAAAATTCAAGAACACTCAAAGGGAGTTTTGGATTTATATAGTACAGCACTTTTTTTTTTTTTAAATCACATACTTATGTTTTCTGTATCATCCCTGAAAAGCAGTCTTGTACTTAAAAAAAAAAAAAAAAAAAAAACAATTTCAGTGACATAGTATTCACAACCTCATACACCCCCCTCTTGGTTTTAGACAGCTCTAATTTTCAGAATATTCTTCTCTTATATCAGAAATCAGCTTCTCACAACTTGTCTTGCCTTTGAAATACCCCCCTCCCCCCAAAAAAAGAAAGAATGAATCACACAGTCTCTTTTACAAGGAGCAGCACATTAAGCATTCAAATATAGCAGTCATGTCTTCTGTGCTGTATTTCAGCTTTAAGCATACAGTGTTCTTGTACCAGAGCCATGGTTCCCATACTTTTGAGCTCAGAATTTACCATTGCTTTATAGTGTCATTTCTGAGATTGTTCTTAACACTTTTTGGAAAAGGAGGAAGTTATACAAGAGAAAAGTAATGTTTTCTAAGTTTTAAAATGGACATAGTTGTATTGTTGAGAGATTTGCTATGCAAAAGGATTTGTTGGTTGATTTACAGATTGAAAGAAATAGACATTTATGAAATTGAATACATTGCAGCATGAGAACACCATGTGTATGTCCAGCACTATAGACACATGTGTAAATCACCAGAGTTTGCACATATTTGTCCTTCTCTTCTCCTACCCCCCTTCCCCCCATATAAATTAAGGCAGTCAGTTTGTGGACTGGGATTTAGAAACACCAGGAGAATATTAAGACTTTATCACTTTAGGTTACTGATATTTGTGCATTTGTGATAGCATCATTAGACTATATACTTAGATATTATGAGCATATACTGTATGCAAACTCTCTAGATAGAAGATTTTTTTGTATGGTATGGACCCCCCCACACACACACTTCTTAAAGTTTTGTAGGTAAAGTAAGAAATTATCACTAAGTTTGAAGATGTTGGATAAACATGGGAGAAGAGTTATGTTAGAGGTACACTGTTACCAAATTAGGAGGGAGGCAGATCACTTCCTACTAGAAGGTTGAAAATATGGAATCAGAATACTGAAAGAATTTTTTTTTTTTTGCCAATTTAAAATACTGTTTTATTTAAGGCATTGCATTTTCACTCAACTATAAAGTGCGATGTTTTACTTCCTTTCTCTGTGCACATATTCCATATTCAAGTATTGATAGGGCCTTGTAATCTACCATAGCAGCTCAACTTTAAAACTGCCATGGAATGAGAGGCATTACACTCTTAAGAGTTTATACTTTTACCCACTTCCTGTTTGTGTGTTGGAATTGGGGGTGGGGGTTTGTTTTCAGTGCTTCGGATTGAACCCAGAGCCTTGCTATTAGTGTGCTAGGCAAATGTTCTACCACTGACCTACATTCAGTGTTTTAAAAGGAATGTCAGCATGGATTTAGTGTCTCCCTGAGCTGTACCGACAGAATTATGAAGTAAAAATTTTAATGGGGAAGAGAAGGTATGGGGCAGAGGGAACTGATTAAGTCTTCCATATAATAGTCTTCTATTAACCTGTCTATATAGGTTTAGAACACAGGACATACTACGAAAACATTAAACCACAGTGAACTGTTCAAACTGCAAATAGGCTATAGGTATTTTGCTAGTTTATGTAAATACACTGAAGGACTTATTCAGGAGGCAAGGTTTGTTTTCATTTTTGAAATGTAGCACTGAGAAGAAACGAAGCCTGAGTACTCACTACACAGCTTAAAAAATCTTTCTGCGCCCCTTCCTGATTGTACTTGACTGTGATTTTTACTAAATGGGATAAATTCTGTTACAGAGATCTTTTGGTTCAGCAGTATGTTTTTGAACTTTGTAAAGTTACTTTCACACAACTTCCGTGTACTGAGAAACTGTGGTTTGC